GAAGAAGATTTTTGAAATATTGGTTAATTTTCCCTTTGGGCGCCCCGCCCTGGCCCCAGGGGTTGGGGTAGGAATCCCAATTTTACAATTTTGAAGCCTCATCTACCAAGGATGATTCTGACCAAGTTTGAAAAAATCCATCCACTGGTTCTTGAGAAGAAGTTGAAAATGTAAAAGTTTACGCACGACGCACGACGGACGACGGACGATGACGGACGAAAAGCGATTGGAATAGGTCACTTGAGCAAAGCTCAGGTGACCTAAAAATGATTTATAAAAGCCAGCAACATGCCGGAAAAAAGGTTTAGAATGCATAATTTCATTTTAGCCAGTGGTATGGGTATCCTTAAGGTGTCATGTTTTGTGTCCTTACCTTAGAATGTTTTTTGAGGTAGGCGTAACAGGAGCTAAGGACCAAAGCCGGCTTCTGTCTGCCCATGTCGAACAGAGCGTTACAAATCTGTTCCTGGCACTCGTCATCACGGTCGTAGGCAGCGTCTATCAGGGCCATGGTCAGGTCTGACAACAAGTCAAATGTTACATGACAATTGGAGGTTTATCATGACATTTTTTTCATTTTCAGGTTATGCCAAAATATATGTTTCAGGTGTCCCGACCTACCCTAAATTTTCCTGCTGACCCCAAAATTGTTATCACCTACTTGTTTGTAAGATTGCTTTATTAGCAAGGCAAAGCTCATTAAAATGTAGTCTTCCTGCTCTTGAAGTCTGACTCTATTTTTGACAAATTAATCATCCTTGTCCTTTAGGTTTGTCCACATTCCTTTTTTTACGTGGGAGACAAATATATCGGTATATCACACAACACTATAAGCACATATTACAGCATTTCACAAACACATATTTTATGAGCAGAAAGAGGACCCGCTTCAGAAGTTCACAGAATAAATAACTTAGTTTTAAGTCATACCTAGTTTTACACATATATAGGAAAGTAATTTACCTCCGTATAATATTCAAATCATGTGATAAGATCAGACATACATATGTAATTGATATTGTATGTTAGTCATGTGATATGAAAAATGTCATCTATTACTGAGGAAATAATATATTGAAATCTCAAAGATACACATATTCTGTTTTTGATTCTTCCCTGGCTGTAATGTGTGCAAATGCATTGCAAAATTGATATAAATTTGAGGACAAATTTAACTAACTTTATATGTTTTTGCCTCTCTTGACCAGGTCCTATGCCAAACCACGCTCTCCCAAATCAGGGCGAATTTATCTTGACAGCGGATATTAGAAGACGATCGACATACAATTTATAGTAAATACATGTGAAGAGCGAAATAAACACTAGGTGAATATGCATTTTATCGGCGAAGGGCAAAAGTTTGTCTGGGCGAACATTTCCCGGTTTACAACTTACTCCATTAATTCTTTAGAAGCATTGTATCTTAACCCTTTTCACCACTGTAGACGATAATGGACTCATCCAATTCAATGCATGGTAGTGTCTATACTAAAGTTACATAGGGTTGAAAGGGTTAAAATGGTCTTATACTATTGCTATTGAGTACCTATATATTTTGCAGGATACTTTTTCGGGTAAGTTCACTGAAAATCTGTGTATCGTATACAATTACTTATATACAAAGAGAAACGTGACTATTGAACTTTGCGCAAATTTAGGGTTCTTCTTCTTTTATAGTAAACACTTCTGGAGATGAGACACTGATAACTTCCAATAGATTAACTTATGCTAACGTAGAACTATTGTCGACAACAAATCAAGGTTTGTGGCTGCAGACATCTCACTTCATGACCTAGCTTGTGTAATTATCACTAAACCATTAAGATTCATAAGAAGGTAAAATGGAATATCAGTTTAGCGGTTAATAATTTAACTCATTCACCCCTGAAGACACATATAAACTCTTCCAATTCAAAGGTTGGAATAATTCATTATGAAATTGCAGGGGTAAATGAGTTAATGGGAAATGATAAGCTCTGCCCTTGCTCTCCTAGCATGTTATCGATTCTGACACATTGTATATGTAATGAGGTATTGTTTGTGTCCAGATGCATGGGAGGAATGACAGTAACCCGGCATGCTCTAATGTTTTATTATAACCTATTCAAGCACATGTTACAACACATTGGGCCCCAACAGGGGAGACAACTACATGGACTTATATATGCTGATTACTACAAGGTAGCAGTACACCAAAGGCTCAATACTGTTACAACACACGTCCTTATTTTTCAGTCACTGAAGATTATCCGAATCTATTATTCTGAGTGATGAAGAGTTGGAGAAACCTCAACCCAAGAGCTAGATTTTAAAAATCTTATCCGAAGAGTTGACATTTCTTAGTCCACATTGCACAAGAGTGATTTTTTTCTCCTACACATTCCCAACATAAAAATCAGTTGCATAATCAAGGGTGCATGAAAAGCTTCCTTATAATTCACGATTGTTACAAAGTGCATGTTAGCTGTTTTTCCCGAAACCATCAAGTTCTGAAATGTCAGCTAACCAACATCAACTGGACGATTCATAGCAAAGTGACAATGTTGAACGCTTTACTCAACTGCATACGTCTGGTGCAAGGGCTGAAGAAGAAACTCAGGCTACCATCGAGTCTGACTCAGCTATATGGACACTGCATAGTTAATTCAAAGTTACATGGATACAGATATAAATGGTGACTACTGTTGTGAACTACAGGGGCACGAAATCAATTATTGATTAAAAAGTTGTTTACAGATCATCAGTTACAGGATTACTGCGAGTGATGAAAAATAATGCTTGTGTATCCGTATAGTCTGGTCCTCCAGTTCGGCAGCCTTGTATGGCATGGCAGAAAAACTTTAACCGATGGCCATGTCAAAACATTATGCTATCTACATTATATGTCCGATAACCATAATGACCATAATATATCTTCCATTGAGGATCATGACATGGAGCCCGTGACATGTAATAACGTTCAAGAGAAGAAATATGCAATGAGACAAAAAATGTTTTAATTTTTGAAATAAAGTAACTACGTTTTGGGCTCGCAGAATAAACGAAACATGTGTGCATGCGGCATCATGAAACTACGAATGAAGAACCCTGTCAACGTCCGACATTTCCCCGTGATGTTCGCGTATGGGTCTGCTGTTTTGTCGGTGTATCGTCTGCATTCAATACCTACCGTCAACCTGGCCGCCCGTACTGCGAATCATGTCTTCGTCCGGTCCAGGCATAATCATCTACAGCATGTCACACCTGTATTAATTAGTTATTTAAAGGTAAACAGAACCTCCCCTAAATCTTCCTCATCATGTGATGGTTTGTTGACTTCCGGGTCAAAAGGGAAATAACTCTGAGCGAACGAGAACGTTTTCTACCGTAGTTATTCTAGTAACAGATTTAGTGCCACCGGATGCTTTAATACAACTACGCCTAGTAAGGTGAACATAATTTATGACATGTTGCCAAAAAGGTTAAACAAGGCAATATAGTGGGAGGTAATCCATCTACCAAACTATTCACTCTACTTTTTTTCCATATTCAACCAATTCAAACAATTAATTGTTTTGCTTTTGATATAAACCAACAATACGTGTGACATGAACAATTTCTTTTTCAATGACTCAATTCATTTCAGTGACTTTAATAAGTGTACTTTTCCAAAACATAAATTAAGGTAGAAATGAAGGTCACATTACAAATTGAGTTATTGGGGGTCAGAGGTCAAAATATAGGTCACAGCGACCTACTTTTTGATTTTTGCTCCAGAATCCCAAGATTTATTACTTCCACACAATTGGTGTACATTTATAACTCCAGGTTTTTGGGGAAAACATCCGCCACCTAGTACAACAAATCGGCATTAACATATCACGCTAACACCAAAAAATACATCTTCGATTGGGACAATGCCAAGATAGTTGAAGGGGAACAACACACAAAAACTAGACAAATCAAAGAAGCAACCAAATTCAGGAAAACGCAGAACATGAACAGAGACGAGGGGGACACCAGCTGAGTCATCTGTATGGCCCGATACTGACATAACTGGGGAAGGGGCTAGATCTTCATCCTAGATGTAACTTATCTGATGCAGTGTGTATACGCTCCCTATGGATAGATCGAGTGACATTAAAAACTAGGTGAAAACCTGTCAAAATTGGCTGAATATTCAAACATACATTTATGCAGATATTAACTGGTTACCATGGCAGCCATAATTGAAAACACAAATAAACATTTACATGATAGTACCGGGGAAGTATTCAAAATTAAAGAAACAGTCATTTGAAAGTTCTATTAACGTTTTTTAATTTTGATAGTTTTCTTCTCTTCTTCTGAATATTAGTGGGCCATCAATGCTGATAGGTTAAAAGTAAAACTTTTCTTTTGTTTTTGTTATTCTGATTTATGATAAAAACAATGAAGTGACTTAAAGTTGCGCGAGAAAGGACACTGTGATGGTAGATTTGAAGGCATCGACAGTGTCGACAGAAACGAAAGACTGAGGGAGTAGATTCCATTGAGTTATAGTTCTGGGGTAGAAGGAGTATTTGTAGCAGTCTTTAGACGTTTGGAGGTGTTTGAAGGCACATATGGGTTATGATGACTTGCACGAGTGCAGGGGTCGACAGGTGTAAGAAGATTTCCTGGTTTGAGAGCGACATGGTAATGAACAATTTTGTAAAACATGATTAGTCTGAATTGGAGACTGCGGAGATGTAGGGGACGCCAGTTGAGAGTGTCCATCATGGCAGTAGCAGAGCTAGTGTTGTGGTAGTTGTTACAAACATATCTGGCTGCTCGACGCTGTACTTTTTCGACCTGGTCAATTTGAGAGGAGTTGTGTGGGTCCCAAACTGAGGCACCGTACTCTAGTTTGGGACGTACCAGGATTTTGTAAACATGTTCTTTGATGTTCTGAAAATTTACTTTTAGGTTGCGGCGCAGAAAACCAAGTGACTGATTTGCCTTGGAGGTCATAGCATTTATGTGGTTGTCCCATTTGAGGTTCGACTGGATTGTGACTCCAAGGTACTTTATAGAATTTGTTGTTTGTAGTGTGTGTAATTGACTGATGTTTACCGGAGACCTGGAGAACCGAGCACTTATCGGGGTGGAACAACATCAGCCAGTCCATTCCCCAGGCTGCCGCAGCATTGATGTCAATTTGGAGTTTTTCAACATCGCTGGTATTTTTAATATCTCTATAACTGATACTATCATCAGCAAATTAAATATACGTAGGGAACTATGTTTCATGTATTCTGCCAAATCATTAATATAGATTAGGAATAGTACGGGACCTAGGACAGTACCCTGGGGGACACCAGATGTGTCAGGGACTGTATACGTATCAGATAAGGAGATAAGGTGTGTCTCACAGGAACCGGATGATCGGAAGCCGTGTTGGAGTTCATAAAGGATATTATTAGATTCAAGGTGATGTTCACAGTGTTTGCAGCAGATACAAGTGAGAGAGATCGGACGGTAGTTTATAGCATGGTGTGTGTCTCCCTCTTTGTAGACGGGCATGCATACATTCGCATGGTTCCAGTCACGGGGGACAGAGCCAGAGTCTAATGATTTTCGGAATATGAGAGCAAGGATTGGTGCGATTTTTTCCGCAGATTCCTTTAATGTGTACGCATGATTCAATACGACAACTTTACTTTTTGACGCAGAATACAAAAATCGCCACTTCCGACTGTATGATGCAAATTAAAGTTAACAATATAAATTCTCAGTATTTCATTATCACACTCTCTACTAATATTTTTAATAAATATTGGATTTCATCAATGATTACTGTCTGTCCACGTCGCCTTCCTCAGCTAAAAAATCGCACCATTAAAATCACGATGATGGATACATTAGATAATGGGTCACCGATCTTAGTAATTTATTATCACAGTTAAAATGCAAATCAAAGTGACAGTATAATTATCAAAATTAATTCACAGCATCATACCTTTCTTTAGAATCAAAATGATTAAAATCATTGGTCAATCTGATTAAAATCATCTGTTACATGGCTCCGCATGAACTGTTCAGGCGTAGTACGAAGTTAACGAAGCCGTGTAACATATGATTTTAATCAGATTGAATCATTGGTCAGACCATAGGTGGTGGGCACGTCTATCAAAAAAAAAATGAATATATACAACTAGAATTCTAGTTTTATATATTCATTTTTTGATAGACGTGCCCACCACCTATGGTCAGACTCTAAATTTCATACAAGATAACACGAGTTATCTACCTTCTCAACAGTCGAAATACTAAGCTCATTATTATTGGTATATAGCATCATACCGCATAACAGTATCCCTATCAAACAGTATCATCTGTATAACATACGAGTAGGCCTAATCAAACAATAAAATCACGATTTTATCTCGCATGTGTCGTTTTTTTTGTCTTTTGCGGTGTTCGGTACGCTGCGTAATCAATAATCGGAACCCCTCGTCATCTAAGGTATGAATAACGTTAGGCAACATGGCAGCGTTGATGTGTTTGCTTGGGGGCACAGGTGCTCGGGTTCTGGAATATACCTTTATGATTTATTAGTATAAGGGGGTGTGATATCTAGTGGGTGCGATTATATCACATATATTCCAGAACCCGAGCACCTGTGCTTGGGGGTTGCATCGATTCCTCCATCATGATATACCCCCCGGAAGCAATTGACTGTAAGGATCTGAAGGGACATATAGGCCTACTCAATTGTGTAAGTATCAGTAAAGCTTATCTTTATCAGGATAGTTTATTTCCTTTAAATAACATTTCTAACTGTCTCCTTTTTAGCTCACACGGCCCCGATGGTAAACTCTGTAGACAAACAATGAAGTAACACGAGGGGAAAGAATATTAGCAACGTATCTATTCATTCTACTTAAAGATGGATAATGGAGCTGTCCAACCAGTTCACCAACACATGACGAGCTGTACAGATCGATTGGTGACGTTCTTTCAGTGGGGATACCAACTTCGCCAGAGTTCCTATCAGCTAGCGTGTGATGGATTTTTTCACGAAGGTGTCGGTGATAACGTTACTTGTTGTAAGTGTGGAAAAACATTGAAATATTGGGAACATAAAAACTTTCCAGTTGAGTGTATCGATCACCAGTATGCCCTGCCCTATCCACCCAAACCAATAAAAATAATAGACGGCATGGTTGTGATTCGTGACTTTATTCGAGAAATCGTGAACTGGAACATACCAAGGTGTGACAGAAACGCTTTCATATCACGATTGTGTGATGCTGAACGGAGAATGAACGAACTTAAAACAGATAAATGGAAAGACAGAGTCAGTAAAATGGTAATGTCATGAATCGTGTAGAAGATTGGTTTCATCACGGAATTAGATTCTGAGTCCGTGGTTTCATGTAACATTTTAATAATACGTTGTCTTTTGCAATAAAAGTTTTGTATAATGATATTTTGTCTTAATTAATATGTTGACGGAGGAAGAAGAACGACGTATAGAGGAGGTTTACTACAATTTGAAGAATGGAGGTGCATTTCTCAGCCCTGGAAAGGTTCACTGAGTATTGAAATTGAAAGGTTTCAAAACTCCAGGTCTACATAAGATTAGAAGGTATAATCAGAGTCTAGATGAGTATAGCTTACAAAAACCGATCAAACGTTCATTCAAGAGAGCGAGAGTTGAAGCATTTGGTCCATACGAACGATACGATGCAGATCTAGCTGATGTTTCCTCCCTTTCAAAGCAGAATTCAGGCTATCGTTTTCTTCTTGTTGTCATTGATGTATTCACTCGTTTCCTATGGGTCGAACCTGTAATGACAAAAACGGTTAGAGTTGTAATAAATGTATCTTAAAAAAATTGTTGAAAGGGGTAGAATACCAAAGCGTCTAAGAAGTGACAAGGGAGGTGAGACAAACAATAGATTAATGAAAGATTGGTGCCAAGAGTATGACGTTCATTATTTTACCAGCCAGAATGAAACAATAGCTAATTTTGCCGAAAGGGTCATCAGGACACTCAAGACGATGATGTATATAGATACTTCACAAAATATAGGACTTAAAAGTGCATCGACAAATTACAAGATTTTGTAAGTAATTACAACACCACCCCTCACAGATCATTAAATGGCATAGCCCTAAAAGATGTAAACGACACATACAAAGCAAAACTGTTTGGCTACATGTTTTTTAGGAAAACACAAAGGAAAACTGCGAAGGGGAAGCAACGAAAAACTGTAAAGGGGAAGCAAAGGAAATTTAACTTCAATATAGGAAGTCTGGTGAGAATCTCACATTTAAAACAACCTTTCACGAGAGCATAAAAACAGCAGTGGTCTTCGGAAATCTTTAAGGTACATAAACGGTTTCGTATGCAAGGGATTCCATAATACCAATTGATCGATTTTCTGAACGAGCCCAGGACATCAGTGGGAACGTTTATCAATCGGGATTACCAAGAGTGGATAAAAACGAGAACACACTATGGTACATTGAAGAAAAATTGAAAAAGCGTAAAAAAAAAGTCAAATGGTTCGTAAAATTCGAAGGTTGGCCATCGAAATATAATCAGTGGATATTGGAAAAAGATATCAAAGAGGTATAATATGTCACAGTATATAGTCATTCAGAGAGATGGAAGTAAGGACTATTTTCCAGAGAACAAACCATTTCACTTTCGCTCGCATTTTCAATCTCCATTGAATCTACACGGAACTTAGAAAGTGGCTTTTGTGGACATAACGGTAAGTACGAGTGGTTTAAAGACGAGACAGAATTTTTCCATACATAGCGACGTATGTGATGAAATACACAGGTATATCTACCTACAGTACAGGTATGTCTTATTACCCAATACACAGGTATATCTACATACAGTACAGGTATGTTGTATTACCCAATACACGGGTATATCTACCTACAGCACAGGTATGTCTTCTTACCCAATACACAGGTATATCTACCTACAGTAAAGGTATGTCTTGTCACCAAATACACAGATATATCTACTCATCGTGCAGGTATGTCTTATCTGGAATCCAATACACAGATATATCTAACCACAGTACAGGTGTGTCTTATTATCCAATACACAGGTATATCTAACCACAGTACAGGTATGTCTTATACCCCACAGGTATATCTACCTACAGTACAGGTATGTCTTATTACCCAATACACAGGTATACAAAGATGTAAACGACACATACAAAGCAAAAATGTTTGGCTACATCTATCTTATTACCCAATACACAGGTATGTCCTATTACCCAAAGCACAGATATATCTACCTTAGGTACAGGTATGTCTAATTACCTAATACACAGATATATCTACCCACAGTACAGCTATGTCTTATTACCCAAAACACAGGTATATCTACCCACAGTACAGGTATGTCTTATTACCCAATACACAGATATATCTACCTTAGGTACAGGTATGTCTTATTATCCAAAACACAGGTATATCTACCTTAGGTACAGGTACGTCTTATTACCCAATACACAGGTATATCTACCTACAGTACAGGTATGTCTTATTACCCAATACACAGGTATATCTACCTTAGGTACAGGTATGTCTTATTACCTAAAACACAGATATATCTACCATAGGTACAGGTATGTCTTATTATCCAAAACACAGGTATATCTACCTTAGGTACAGGTACGTCTTATTACCCAATACACAGATAT